GCAATGGTGGGGCCAGGGGCGGGGGCCCCTCAGCAGCAGGCGCCCCGATGCTGGGCACGGCAGCACTCAGAGCTGCCCCTCCCAGTCCTCTCCATGGATCCCAGGCCGGTCAGCAGGCGACGTCTGGGGACAGAGGGAAGGACGAAATGAGGACAGAGGTCACGGGGCCCCCTGCCTCCCAGCCTGGCGAGGTTTCCCCAGGCCCTGCCACAGGAGTGCGGGCCTCAGTTTCCCCATGGGAGAGCACAGCAAGGACAGCCCCTGTCAGGGCTGAGCCACGGCCCCGAGGGGACAGGGAACCACCAGGACGGAATGGAGAGGCGCAGAGGGAGGGCGGGATTTCAGGGTCCCTCTCACACCCCAGGACAGGCCCCTGTCTGCTGTGGCACTGCTGAGCCAGACGATTCTGGGGCGGCCGGTCCTCAGAGGAAGGTGCTCAGGCTGGAGGCCGGGGCGCTGGGACCCCTTGAGGGAGGGGAAGGAGGCCCCACTCGGCACCAACCACCGTAAGCGCCTCCACCCCAGCTGCTGTGCCCACAGGGCTGGCCGGGCACAGGGTAAACAAGCCGGGCTCGCCCTCCGAGAGCTCAGAGAGCCGGGGCAGCCCACAGCAGCCAGCGGACCGCCCTCGGGCACATGCCCAGGTGGTGACAGCGCAGGCGGCCAGAGCAGGGTCACTCTGTGACAGGGCACAGGGAGGAACGCTGCCGGACACAGGAGCCATCGGGCCTCCACCCCGGTCTCTTCCTTTCTGGGCGCCAAGGCCCCAGGCCTGGGCCCCACAACAGCAGCAGCTCCACTCACACCCCATTTGCGGGCCAAGGGCCTTGGGCATGTCACTGGCCTCGGTTTCCCCATCTGCACCATGAGAGGCCAAACGATGCCCCTAAGGTGACTCAGGCACCATGCCCACACTCCTAGCCACTCGCCCAGCTCACTGGTCTCCGTGCCCCAACTTACCACCTCTTACCTCTGCCCTCGCCCCTGCACCCCCTTCTCCAGCTGCCCGCTAGGCGGGCAGGGCCGCTGGAGCCTCGGCCCGGGTGCAGGGATGTTCTGGGCCAGCTCTGCTGCTCTCCTGGGCTGACCTCACTGCACCCTGCCCCCCCCCCCTGTGGGGACCCCAGGAGGGTTAAGCAGGGGTGTGGTGGCCCAGGAGGGGGAGAAAGGCAGAGAGAGGAATCCTGCCCTGGCTTGGCCGTCCGGCCTGCATCCCAGAGCCGGGAAGAGACAGCTGTGGACGCCCGAACACCAGCGAACAAACACCTGTGCCTCCTGGGGCAGCGGAGGTCCCCCTGTGCGTGCGTGTGCGTGTGTGTGCACGTGCATGTGTGTGCGCGCGTGCATGGGTGTTTACCAGAATGGAGAAGGGCCCAAGGAAGCCACCGGCCTCCAGGCCTTTCTCGGAGGGGCCGATGGCCACTTCCCTGCGTGGCTGGGCACCTGGGAACCCTGTGGGCGACAGCGGCTGGCCTGGCTCTGCTGCCCAGGACCCCGGGCAAGTCCTCAGGGCCAAGGGCCACTGGGCGTGGAGGGGCCTAGAGCCGCCCCACATTCCTGCCCACTTGAGCCTGAA